ACCTTCACAGCAAATCCAAAACGTTGCTAGAAGAATATGAACGCATCGGATCGCTCACCACTCATAATGTGGTACTGGTGCCTCTCGGCGACGACTTCAGATACGAATTCGACTCGGAATTCGATGCGCAATACGTCAACTACATGAAAATGTTTAATTACATCAACAGCCACAAGGAGCAATTCCATGCTGAAGTTCAATTCGGTACCCCTCTGGACTATTTCAATGCTATGAAGGAAAGATTGAACGGTAATATACCAAGTTTAAAGGGCGATTTCTTTGTCTACTCTGACATATTCAGCGAAGGAAAACCCGCATACTGGTCTGGATATTACACAACGCGTCCCTATCTTAAGATTCTCGCACGACAATTCGAACATCAGCTGCGAACATCGGAAATTATCTTCACGCTCGTCTCTAATTTTATACGACAGTCTACCGATCATAGACTCATTTCTTCCGAGAAGCGATTGGAAAAGCACTACGAACAATTGGTCAACGCGAGGAGAAATTTGGGACTTTTCCAGCATCACGATGCCATTACGGGCACTTCGAAGGCTAATGTCATGAACGACTACGGCACTAAACTCTTCACAAGCTTATATCATTGCATTCGTCTGCAGGAATCTGCTCTTACATCACTTATGATTCCGGACGAAAAATTGCATTCTCAAAGTATTTTGCAGAGCGAAGTAGAATGGGAAACCTACGGAGCACCGGTCCGTAAACTTCAGGTGTCCTTGATTGACAGAAAGAAAATAATTCTCTTCAATCCTCTAGCAGAACGTCGAACCGAAGTTATCACTGTTAGATCAAATACAACTGACATTCGAGTTTACGATAGCAGAACGAGGCAGCACGTGGAATACCAAATAACACCTATTATTGAAGTTCTCGACAACGGTAAACGTGTCATCAGCAACACTAATTTCGACATCCAGTTTGTTGCAACTCTGCCCGCGCTCACCACGGTAACCTTCAAACTCGAAGAGCATGTGAATACGTCAAAACATTGCCTCGTTTTTTGCAACAATTGCAATGACAATAATTCCGAAAAACCACCGAACTTCGTTATAAAGAAAATGATGCCTGGTGATATTCAACTCGAAAATTCCGTTTTGAAATTACTCGTAAACAGAAATAATGGATTTTTGAAGCAAGTTTACAGAAAAGACGCGCGGAAAAAGAACACAGTGGAAATACAATTCGGGGCCTACCAAAGCGCACAGAGACATTCGGGAGCTTACCTGTTCATGCCTGATTACGATGCACCTGAGAGACATGTCCTCAGCCAATACGCCAACTGGAACAGCGCCCAAGATGATAACATTATTATAATATCTGGGCCGGTATCCACTAAAATAACTACAATGTATATGCCGTTTTTGATCCATACAATCACGATATACAACGTAGAGGAGCCGGCGATGCTGCACGCTATATCGATCGAGAACGTTGTTGATTTCGAAAACCCGCCCAAAAATAGAGAAACTGAACTCTTCATGCGAATCGAAACTAACATACTTAACGGAGAACCGCCGGAGTTCTATACGGATCAGAACGGATTTCAATATCAGAAGAGGGTTAAAGTTGAGAAACTTGGTATTGAAGCTAATTATTACCCAATTACTACTATGGCTTGGATTCAAGATGATGATACGCGAATCACGCTGATCACAAACCATGCTCAGGGCGCTTCGGCCTTCGAACCCGGCCGTCTCGAGGTGATGCTTGATCGACGAACTCTATACGATGATTTCCGCGGCATTGGTGAAGGCGTGGTTGATAATAAACAAACCACATTCCAAAATTGGCTGCTCATTGAAGCTACAAACTTTGAAAAAACTAAAAGAGATACTAGTGAGAAATTCCAAAACGTACATGAAAGATTCTTTAGACCGGAGGAGAAAACCACAGATTACCAATTGCCATCGCAGACAGCCGATTATTTGAGCCGATGTCTGAACTATCCTGTGAACATTTATTTAGTGGACACGAGTGAGGTTGGGGAGATACAAGTGAAGAAGTATCAATCCTTCGTGCAGAACTTCCCGCCGGGCATTCATCTGGTTACTATGCGCACTATAACGGATGATATCCTCGAACAGTTTCCGAGCTCTTCGTGCTATATGGTACTACAACGACCTGCTCACAGCTGTACCGTAGGACTGCGTCGCCCTAAACCGACTGCTTTCACCCCTAAAACTCAGTTCAATGGACTTCGTATCAAGAACTTGACTTCAGTCAGCTTGACCGGTCTCAAAACATATAAAACTCTAGTAGACATAGAAGACGTGAAACTAGAACCTGTAGAGGTTAAAACATATAAGGTCAAGTTTTGAAGACTGTTAAATTTAATCTTTAGATAAATTATAATAATAAACTTGCTGTTCTATAAGTATCTAGACAGCAATAATGTTAGTTAACGCTTTGATGATATCTCCTAGTCCAAATTTAATTCAATGCACTCGGGAGATATTTGTTCGATGTCTATGTGAATTTAATATTAAGACATGAGTTTCCACTGCCAAAACTCTTGTATAAAAACAAATTACCATCTATTTCCTTGTCTTTGAAAAAAACAGAGATCAAAACATGTTATATACAATTGTTTCGACAGAGGAAACCCGTACGTAGAGAATTTTTGACAAATTTCACTTTTTCATGTTCATAATATGTTTCCACATTGAGAAATGTTTTTAATCTTTATAATAATAATTATTTATCAAATATCCTTCTGCATAACTAGTGAAAAATCTAGAATTACTAGATAAATCTACCTCAGGTCCAAATGATATACCTTTCAGAATCAAAATGATTTTATTTAAGGTGTTAATTACATTATAGTTATCCTACAATTCTTATTGTTGGTTTCTAAGACCAAAATCCATGTATAAAACATATCATCGTTGACAAAAGCATATACCAATACGCTTTATACAGAAATTTTCGTCTCAGAAACCGACGATTAAACAGATATTTATTAATAATTATTCCTTTTTGCTACTAGTCTTCTACTGTGTTTATTTTCTAATTGTTTTAAAAATATAACCGATATTTTAAAAACACAAACTTAGTCAAATGTACATAAATCTTGCCATTATCAATTATATTAAAATAATTGGTTATATTCATAGCAATCGATATTACATATGTATTGCATATTTACTGAAAATATTAATATTTGATTAATTTATTCATTTCACAATACATAAGTTGTGATTCATTTAAGATCTCTTTTATATTAAATATGTGTACAAAAATACGTTAAGTAATTGTGTTAGATTCATATTATTTTTAAACAAGTAAAGGAAAAAAGCATCAGGACACATTGTAAGCATAAAATTGGGACTATATTATTAAAGAAGGGCTAATGACTCCTAAATCATTTTTTTTTAAAAGAGAATCCTTGAATATACAATATCTTGTCCCTATTATATTATAATATGAACAATTAAGAGGCTAAAGCATTTTTGTTATAATAAAATTACTAACTTAATCGAATCTCAGTGAGATTAAATATTAATACATATTTTTGTCTCTGTTCAAAGAAATTTGACAACAGTAACAATGTTTTCTTTGTATTATTTCCTAATCTCTAACTTTTTTTTTTCTAATATTAGTAAGAATTAATCTACACATATATGTGGATGTACATTGCTGAAACATATTCATAAATACATTTAAAAAAAAACAAAGATTGTTTTTTTACACATGTGTTTTTGTAGTGATTATTCAATTTGTCAAATAGGTTAATTTATTATAATTGTTTGGTTGTGTTTGTTAATATTTTATTGGTTTTAGCTAAAATGATTGAATTATAAATATAAGTATTAATATTGCTGACGAATATAATCGCATTTATGTTAACCTGCAAATAATTTAAGTTATTATATAATATGTTTTGTTAAAAAGAGGCGCCAATAATTATTCATTAAGTGTAGTTTTATAATAAATTAATAATTTGTTTGTAATTGATAAAAGGAATAATTGTGTCTGTTGCTAAATGTTTTCTTAGAGTTTTCATAGCTGTAAAACATGTATACATTATGATATCTTTATCTTGAAATTTTAAATATATGTTTTTAAATCTACAGCTAAAAAGCTTATAAGTAATAGACCACGTTTATTGCTATTTACATATAATAATAATATTACATCAATTTAAACTAGTCCCGTATAAAATCTACAAACAGTTTAATAATCTGTTTTTATTTGTGATTATCTTGCGTAGGATTATAACAAATGTTTGCTTTTCTTAAATTAATTTTAATTCATAAAACAATTAAAATGATTACTCTGTATTGTTGTCTGTTCGTTTCTGAGTACAAAGTCTCCATTTAAAACATATTATCTATGTGTTGTCAAAGATGATAAGGATATGTTTTATACAGATATTTGATCTCAGAAACCTACGGTAAGCGAATTATATCGAAAACATATTGGATTGATCTGAAAATAGCTTCTTAAATGACAATTTAGATAGCTCCTGCTGTCTTTTAGACCAAATTTAATTATTATTCTTCTATACAATTAATTTATTTGTATATATTTTAGCAAAACTATTTGTAAATATTCTTTTCCTTGAGTTTTGAATATTATAAGTTAAATTAAATTAACATTTAAATCAATATATATTCGAATTGTTCTTATTTCAATAATTAAGTAGACAAATGTATGCTCTTATGGATATGTTACAATATATAAAATTGTTTACCAAAAAAAAAAAAATAACAATTTAACTGCATTTACCACTTTGAAAAAAAATGATTGTCATATTAACACAATACTTTAGAAAATATAATATTTTTTTTTTTTAAACTGCAAGATATCAGGAAATATTTTTGGATCATTAAAACTGTATTTTTGTTACTGGCATAATTTGTATGTTATATTTACATTTTATGAATCTCAAAAATGCCTTTAGATCTGTTAATTTGAATAATAGAAATAAAACTCTGTACAATTCATTTCATTGTATTGTAATTTAAATAAAAATCAAATTATTATAAATTAGTTTACATTAGTGTTTCATTTATTTCCATAATTAGTGATGCATTATTTTAACATTAATAGATTAGGATTAAGATTTGATTCATAGTATGGGGTAAAATAACAAAAAAAAAAAATTCACAACACATTATTTCTTCTTTATTCTGCTGGCGATCCATTCCAAACCCAGGTGCAATCTGTGAAATACATATTAATTATTAGAATTTAAAAACCCATATTAATGATAAATTGATTTAATAATCTAATTAAAGCAAAATTCTAAATCTATAGAAAAATATTTAATTATTTTAACAAAAGTTCCAATATTGAAGAATATATGAACCTAACCATAAAAAATTAAGACATTGCTTCAATTAGATTTTAAATTAAACACATTTCTACCTTTTTACATATATTACAAGAAATTATAATTATTGAAATATGAATGTGTTTGTAGGCCAAAATGGGATTTTGACAAATAACAAAGTACTTTTTTTTATATCATAAGGTGGCAAACGAGCGAGCTACCACTGTAATCGCTGAAATGGCGAAGTGACCGTTGCCCATAGACATACGCAATTGCATATGCGTTGCCTACCGTTGCGTTGTACTAATATTAAAAGCAGTTTTGGTGATTCATACCGTACTAACATCAATACGAATGTTTGGATAGATGGATGGATGGATGTTTGTTAGAAGATATCTACAGCAAATCTACATTTAATTGAAATTTGGCATAGGTGTAGAACAAAACTGAAATAGCATAGGCTAGTAATTAAGATTTTTTTTTAATTCCGTGCAATGGTAGTCATGGATAGATAGTTTAGGAATAAAACATACTCTTAGAAATTACAAACAATCACAATGATGTTCATATCAAACACCGGCAGTCAAAAGGTTAAAACAAGTGTTTAACTTAACAATATCTAACTTTAAAAATACCAATGTAATATAATAGCAAAGAAACAATCCTTTAAAATAACAAAATTAAATATAGACATGAAGTGAATACTTTTTATCAGTTTCTGTCAACATGTTTACTTCACATTAATTATCAAGAAGTAAATACTATAATATTTATAGCCTCATTAAACCGATAAGTAATTACTACGTGCACATTGTCATATTTTAAGATAGATTGCTGGAAATTGCGCCGAACTCTAATTTATATAAATGACAATAACTGTCAAATATGAATAAACATTGCAATTATGCCTTTACATTTCACAACCACACGAGCTACAGATTTTTCCTCATAACAAAAGTGGGTAAACAAGAAGCGGAACGCGTTTATGTTATTTGACTCTCAAGGACATCTACAATCAGAACTAAAGAAGCCTTTCCGGTTTTTAAGGTAGGAGTACTTTTTCTTAAGGACATTAAACCATAGTTGTTTGGAAATACGGCTAAGTACAGTTAAATTTTTATAGTACAAGTATATAATATCCAAAATATTTGTGTAAATTTATTATATATGCTGTTGGCTGATTTAATAAATAACAAAGTGACCGCTGCCCATAGACATCAGCAATTGCAGGTACATTATCTCGGAAGTAGTCTTTTCAAGGAAGGTATGATCTTTCCAAGGTATTGTATGACATTTATAACATACCCTTCTCCGGTAAGCGCACAGCAAGCTTGTATGTGCCACGGATGCTGCTTGATAGATGTCAACGCCAATTGTTCAGATATTTCAGCAGCGGTCATCGATCCCTTCACATCCTGGAATACATAAGTTGTACATTATATAATTTGCCATTTATTTGAATGATTACAAAAGTAATCACAATGAGCAGTTACAAGATTAAAATTGATTTATTCCATATAGCTTTATCTTGTTTTACATTGGTAAGTATTTAAATTAACTTTTAGTTTTTATTTATTTATATAATTAAATCATAAATGTCGATATTAATTTACTTGATATATATAGATATAAAGGGATCAAATGTAATAATTCTCCCAACAAAGCTTAGCAGTTGAAAGTCTAGTGTTACACAACCATTCAACCAGGATAGTAATTGTTAGTTAAGAATAATTTGTTCTACACAATACCTGTTTATTTGCAAAGACTAACAGGCAGGCCTTGCTGAGCTCTTCATGGGTCAGCATCCGATGTAGCTCCTCTCTACTTATAGCCAAACGCTGGCGGTCTGTAGAATCTATCACCATTATCACAAACTGTAAAAAATAAACAAAATCATTAGATAAAAATCACATTTGAGATAAAAAGTAATATTAACAACTTATTTAGCAAAACTCGGCAAAATATTGAAAAAATTCTTCTCAAAGTACTTAATTTTTACTAAATTTTAATATTACATTTTTAAGCCATTTAGCAAAAAGTTCTCATAATTATGTGATCATTTAACAACAATAATTTGTATAGAAATGTTATTAAAAACTGTGTCAATAATATTATCAACCACTTAATATAAGCAAGCACATGTAAAATAAGATCGTTAAGTCCCAAATTACAATTCAGCATTCTAAGTAATAATATTGTTTGTCAAAAGCATAGGAATTTACACAACAATTACAAATTAGCACAAAATAAACAAAACAAACAGCTCAGACTTAAAGATGATATTGAAAACAACACTTATATATAAAAAATGTTATTTTTCATAACATTTAGGAAATTAATTAAGAATACTGAAGTGACACAAATATAGCACAGCTGTACAATTAAACGGGGCAACCAGTACTTTCCTCTATATTGTAAAGTTAACAATAGAAGTTAAATTTTCACCGAAGAACCATAATCTTTACAATTTTAAATAGTGTTAAACACATTGGCATATTGGAAAATTATATAAGATGTATATTTCTATCACATCAAAGAACTGTGTAGTTAGGTTTTAGTCACTACGCAGAAGCATAAGGAATATCTTACTAATATTATAAATACAGATGTTTAGATGGATGAATCAATGTATGTTTGAAGATATCTAATGAACAGCTCTACAGATTTTGGTGAAATTCATCACAGATGTAGAACATAGTCCAGATTCCACATAGGCAGTAGTAATTAGTAAATTAAGTATAATTCTATGTGCACAAAGTCGCAGCTGACAGCTCCAATATCATGATAAAATATATGTATATTTTGAACACATTTTATTGCATAGCAACAATCAGCTTCATAATGATCACAACATGACACAATTAGGCTAAAGCTAAAATTATAACGTAAGAAATTCTTACATCATATACGCATTGGCTAGAAAAAATGATACTTCATACACTGTTCTAAGAGAATAGTTTGGTAAGAGTTATGAACTTAGTATGCTTACCTCACTATTTGTGTAATAGGTGTTCCATGCAGAACGTAGACTCTGTTGGCCTCCAAGGTCCCACATGACGAAGCGCAGATTGCGCCACACAATCTCTTCAACATTTGAGCCAATGGTTGGTCGAGTATGAACAGCTTCACCAAGTAACAACTGGTATAGGATAGTTGTTTTGCCAGCATTGTCCAAGCCCACCAAAACCAATTTATGCTCTAAAATATTTACAAAACATGATTTAAACTATTATTTAAGTGCATAGATATGGCAGACTTTTTACACTGAATTTATTTGGTAATAAAGTATGCAAATTGTGAAACAATTGTTACCAAAAATGCAAAACTCTCTAGCCTTTCTGTTTTGGTCTAAATTTGCTTATATTTCAAGATAATAAAAAAGGTACTTACAAGTAAAAGTTTTTATTTTATGTTACCCACATAGTAGGAAGTGTATCAACCCCAAAGAGAACATCATGTTAAAAAGACCACATGCAACATTTGTGTCCATGTGGTCTTTATTAAAGTTTTATATATGTAATTTATACCATAATGAAGATTACATAATTTATTTTTTAAATGAAAATTATATTGACATGTTTTTGTTATAAGTAAAATAGTCACTTACCTTCGTTTCCGAACAAACTCCAAATTTTTGAAATTAACAGGCCCATTGTGATAAAAATAAGGATAAAACAAAAGCCACCGTTTCTTGCCTTATTTTTCAACCAAACGTAACATCATTAACTACAATGTATATTTCCTATGCTTAAAAATATTATAATTGCTGGCTTAAATACGAATCCATTACCAAATCCACACAAGAATTGCAATAAATATTATGACAATTCATTTAATTCAAGATTTTAAATCGTAAAATATGTTACGTTCTAGAGTTAATATCCTTGGTTCTTAGTACAAGAACTACCTAAGTTATAATGATTAAATTTATGTTCTCAATTACTTATTAAAATAACACCGTCCCACGCACACATGCATTTATTTAATCTCCTGCTTTGCCTACATTAACAAAGGATATTTTCTTAAACACCACACGAAATAAACTAGACAACTTTATTCCCTTATTTTATCTGAAACTGAAATGACGTGACAACATTATCACTTTTAAAGTACTTGCCATTACATAAAATTAAATTGGGTTGCCATAATTTTTTGCACTTAAATAAGTTCAACAAAACAATTTATTAATAAAAATTAAAAACTAACAACACAACGTAAGATTTTCTGTCGAAGTACAAATACGGTTGTTTTATTTTTCTAAAATATGTTATATCATTATTTTTAATTAGCTACATATCTAGCCTGTTGTTAAATACATTTACCGCCAATAGTATCAAGATATTTAGCGAAAACCATTTGCAGAAAGCTTATTATATTACATTAAATAATACTCAGTTTGTTACAAAAAATTTATTATAAAGATTTATACACATACTTTGGGATTAAAGAATTTACAATTCCTTAAATTAGTATACGTTTAATACTATGTTAAGTATTCCAAAACTTGCGTAATTTTATCTGTCGATAAGCTATATCTAGATTGGTTTCTTTACAGAAAGTATGAATTAGAAACCACTCTAAGATGTATTTACAATATTCTTTTTATTCATATTAAATTTTCTCAATGTCTTTCATCATAACATGCAGTTCGGAGGATATTCTTTTCCACTGTGTCCAAAATGTCTTTAGTTATTTGGTAGTAGTCATTTACGACCAGTAATGTGGCCATATTTATGTAATTTCTATAAAAATATATATTTATTTTTAGTAATAATTGGCATAGATGTTTAGCTTTCGCATAAAAAATATTTAATTTATACTTTCGTACTTTAATTGTTTTAATAATTACATATTACATAGTATACGCCTAATTATAACAATGTTTTATTCTAAATAAGAAACAACTTTAAATTACAGTTTCTAATAGTTGCATGTAAAGATTCAGTAAAATGAACTACATGTATATAGAAGATCCTTTGCACAACAAATCAATTATGGCATCATAAAGACACTTTGCATACAACTTTACAATTTCACTTGACATTAAACTACAGAATTGTTGTCTTTCAAAAATATACCCGTATTGTGCTCAATTCCATCGGAGCAAAAGAACCTTTATTTACTTTGGAAATGGGCGTTCCATCTTCAGTACCGCATAAATTAGTCTGATATACTGCTTTTACGTTGCGAAGTATTTTCTCTATTGAAAAACTGTAATCTCCATTACAGTTATGCTGTTGGAAGTGATTTATTTCACACGTAAAGCTTTGCCGCTGTAATGTTATTAGTGCCGTATTGATGGACAACTTTTCTGCCGACGTTTTATAAAGAATTAATCTGAAATTAATCACAAAAACATCACAGGGAAATGGTGTTTTAATTAACGGTAGAAAAGTGTAGTAGCAATGTTCAGTTTGTGATCTGTCGATGAAAAATATGTCCAAGTGATAATTAAGAGCATTTGCAAGATGTAGAGCGTCTAAGCTTGGTAACTGCAATGTCGCTTTCCTGTTGACGCTGTGAAAAGTTTTACTCCTTATAAAGTTTTCCAACAATATAACATGTCTATGATATGTAGCACCATTGTCAGCTAGACCTTCGCCGGTTCCTCGGCCATCATTGTAGAGAACTCTGCGGTCCAACATTACAACGATCTGTCCTTCCTGTAAACAAGTTACGCCATGGGCATGATCTGTTAGTAATGTCAAACGGTTTTGGTAATCCTGAATGTAAGCCAAACTTGTCATAGGATAAATGTTTGATTCGATTCGTCTGCTTATATTTATGTATCTTGGTGTATATTGAAAACCATTATTATCTATAATCAACTCCGGTGGATTTCCATTGACTATGTCAGTTTGAACTGATAAAAACACTTCTAGTTCTCTGTTTTTGGGAGACGCCTCGTAATCTGTTTTCGTTTCAACACAAATTATTTTAGAAAAGGGTCCATTCATTAAATTAAAAATTTTGACGCTGCTCTGCAACAGTCGACCAAAAATGGTGGTAAGTTCGGTTGTTACTAGACCAGAAACAATTAATACAATTTTTGTTTTAACTCCTCTTCTATACGGTGATAAAATGTCATGTAATGGCTTCGAAGAATTTGTATTAAACAAAAACATTCCTGAATTTATATGATTACTTTTAAAAGCACCGTAATCGATCATGACACTTTTTTTATTATTCGTGTCTTTCTCAAATACTGTTTTTAATAATCCTGTAATTTCATCAAATATTAATCGATGTTTATAATTCTCTAGTTGGATGTCGCCTATTTCTATAGGCTGAATGTTAAATGGAAATACTGGTCCATTGCCGGGTGTGTCGTCCATTATGCAAGAAACACAGTAAATTGTTGATGCACTGGATGACGCATCATAAGTCTCCTTGATTTTAAACAACTCTAATGTCATCGGAGGAATTACTATAACGAATGAGATAGTAAAGAACTGTCGTGATATTTTAATCGTATTTTCTGATTGGTAATTCCATATCGGATTAATTTGTATTGTTACATCTTTTTTATTATGATCAATGATTCTCACATTTGGGTTCCGAGTGACAAATTCCACAATTTCAGTTCTCTCGTGGCTTAAAGAATTAAAAACATAAATCTGATCACCTGGAGTCACAGTTCTAAAAGCTGAAATAAATTCACCATTTCTGTATACATATTTTTGGAGATACGTAATGTTTCTTTCTGATTTTATACTTATCAAACTTGCACTTGTTTCTTGTATATACCAACAATCTTTAACAGTTGTTAATATTTTTTTATGTACATATTTTAAAACATTAGCCGTCAATGTGCCACTTACTACGTTACGATCGTGAAGACGGGCTACCGTTTCTCTCGATTTCATTAAAAGATTGAATAAATCTGATATATTCATATGTCGAAAAACGTTAGAACTTACAGCAAAAGAAAAAAGAATTTCTGTAGTTCTTAGAGTAGATTCAAGGCGTCTTAATAGAATTTTTAATAAAGGTCTAGTTGTAAAGAATCCTGACCAATAAGCCGGTGTCCCTGAGCTAACATCTGCGAAATTGAGAAAGTCTCCTTTCAATGATGGATATGATCTGTTCTTTTCAAGGATTTTCTTGAAATAATCTTTGGGAGTACCAAAATCAATTGTTGCTTTATATATCTCACGATTAATATTAACAAAATCAGCAATTTTCTGATAGTTATTATATTGAAAATCAAACTCAGTTTGTTGTTCGTAATGGTAAGGTCCTCCGATAGGAGCAATTATAACATTATGAGATGATATAGTACCCGTCTTAGAATATTGTTCAAGTAGTAATTCTGCTTTTTGTTTTACATTATATGAATCTATGTTGTTAATTGATTTAACAAAATTAAAATCTGAGACACATATATCCTTATCTGGCCCACAAGCTTTGAATCCAGCTGAATTAAACTGCATATAATGACTAAGAACTGAATTTTTCGGATAACGTTCCTTGCCAATTTTATTCAGAATATCGTTGATGTCTGATTTGGAAAATATATCATTATCCCAATTCTGTACCCAAATGAAATCGCTGTATTGGTACTCAGCAAGGTACTGTTCCCAGGAATAATGGATATTAGTGAATATAAGGTTCGAGATCCCACAAGCTGAAAGAAGGTAAGTCATAGTGGGGCTATGTGTTACGCTGTTAGTGAGCCACGCTGTTTTTGGTACAAAATTTAAGTGGTGTTTTAACCATTGATGACCTGTAAAAAATTATATACACTTCTTTAAAAGTGTTTTAAATAGAATACAGATTAATTAAAAAATAGAAATGTCTTAATTACCTTCCATAAGTTGATGTAAAAGACCAAATAAATGTATTGTAGCTTCATCAGGTTCTACCCAACCACCTGTAGTTATTTCTAAACGACCTCCTCGCACTAGCCGACGGAATGCCTGTAAACACATTTTCAATACAATATTTTACTTCACACTTAAGTAGCATAAACAGTTATATGATATCATACCGAACGATTTTTCTGTGTCGTAGTTTGCCACCATTGGCTCAAATGCGATACCTCGTTCCATGTAAATGTTAAATTCTTGTAGAATTGTAATTTCTTAACTAAATTCGACAGAATTTTATTTACAGTATTATTGTGGTATTGATCAAAGCTTTGTTTCCAAATTGAGTCGACGTGAGTGCGTGGGACTAAAATAACCTGTAAAATAATATAGTATTATATATTAGCCGATGATCATATATAAAGTAGTATACAAAATACGGACATGTTAGATGCATCTATAGATCTTGTTCTTCTCGAATTGAATTTGAATTTTTTAAAGCAAATGGGTATTACTGTATACATTTAATACAAATCACTGGTAATCCATTCATACGAAATACTGTGTACTGTATATTTCTTATAGCTGTTTATGCATTTGAGTTTGGTAGTAAATGTATGGGAGTTTATTATACTTTAAGTTACATATTTTGTTAGTGAAAATAAGGTTTCAGACGCAGTATTTATCAAAGGAAATATGACCTATTTATGTTAGTAATCTTGTAAACGATCAGGAGAGGGATATTGCGAATGCCATGTCTCGTTGAACTCTCGAGTCAGCCAAATCGTTCATCGATGTGAAATTTTAGTGCGATATAGAACGTTGAAGCGATATATCGTATTTCAACGAAGATAATAAATAAACACTCTTGTATTAGAATATTGGGATATTGTCAGCGGTAAGTTAATGTTTGCTAAACTTTTTGATTAATAAGAGTGGAATGTTCTGCGTCTTATATAGATCTCGGAATCAAACGTTCGTAGGCAAGTTTTTACAATAATAAGCTTTATTTTATTATACTTAAATTATAACTTTGTTTCTTTTAAAGTTATTTGAATGAAGCAATAAAAAATGTAAAATTAAATACATATTTAGATTATGAAATTGATTCATTATTGTTGTTATATTTCGTTGGAAGTTGTAATATGACACCAATTTGGTCTCACATTCTTTTACTATAAGGTTTTGGGTTCCAATTTCGAAGCATATTGTTATGCTCCTTATTCTCTTTGTAAAAACAGATTATTGTAATAGAATATTTACGGTAATGATAATTAAAGTTGATTATAGTGATATCGCGGCTTCGATATCTGGTTGAGGTGAAAAATGTAAAATAAATCGAACTTTTAATATCAGTTATCAAAAACTTATGCATTAACACTTCACAAACTATTTATTTGCCTTACCGTGGGTTTCTGAGACCAAAATACCCGTTTAAAACATATCGTTATCTCTGTTTAGTCAAACATAATGACATGGATGCTGATATGTTTTACAGAGATTTTTGTCCCGGTAACCAAAGTTTAATTACCTTCAGAGGCGGCCATCTATTATTTCTCATCAGCGACTCGTAGCGACTGTCAAACATTTTGTTCCAAAATTGTTTTTTCATTATCCAAGGCGGCTGAATGGTATAAATCAAAGTGTATATAGTATTATTATCGATGCGAAAATTTAAATGCATGGATGGATGTTTGTTGATAGTATCTTATAAACGGCTCAGCGAATCTTGATGAAAATTGGCACAGATATAGAAAATTATCTGGAAGAACGCATAGGCCACTTATTAAGTTTTTTTAATTCAACGCGGGCAGAGTAGCGGGCGAAAGTTAATTAAACAAAGATTATGAATATACAATTTTAGTAAGTTACAATACTCACTTCGATATCGAATTTAGAAAATTTGTCCTGAGCGTCTATATCGGCGTTATAAGGTTGCAAAACAACACATGTAAAAGGATTTACAGGCACAGTATAATTATAATACATCGGAATAACTTCAGGAGTTACTTCTTCTATTAAAAAGTCTGCTTTATCATTGTCGACTTCGTATTCTGGCATTTTCCTAATATGCAAATCGTTTGATTCCGATGATTTATCATTACCTATATCACTACTCGTTCGAAATATAGTCTTTTTAGAAGCGCTTTCATTTCCAAATACATGAAGAATTTCTTGCATGTTTGACGGTTTTTGTTCTTCAACGGGTGGGAAAAATCTGGACGTTTTTGGTATTTTGTAAAAACTTTCAACAGTTATTTTATCTGAATAACTATTATTTGATATTTTATCGAGTGAATTGTCTAAAGGGAATAAAACATTATCGAAAGATAACGGATGAGTAAAATTGTAGAAAGTATCACGAGTAAGCCTTAACTCATTTGGATGTCGGTTTTCTCTTCGACTCATTTTAAATGATGTATCACTTTTGCTACGAATAGTATCGACTGCGGATAAAAGTGTAGACATTTTCGGTCGTTGCTTATTGTTTAACATTTTTCCTTGAGGATATTCTGGAAATAGTTCGGCGTGGACTTTCAAATGGTAAGGTGATTTCGACATGGAAATATTTTTCCAATAAACATGATTTCCTTCTATCTCACTGAACGGCCTTTGGACCATTTTCGATTGACTTCTAACGATTTTTCGTAATGCTATGAAAATTAAACAATTAATTCATTATTTTTTGTATATTTTTTACAACGAACACAATAAGAAAAAGTTTTTTACACTAATAAGTTGTTAATTTAACGCTTAAAAGTTTTACCTTTGGTTTCTGAGACCAATATATCTGTATAAAACATATCATAACAATATGTTTTAAACGGGGATTTTGGTCTCAGCAATCCATGGTTAATTATATAATTTATAACATAATTATAGGATTTTTAGTTAAACGTTTAGATATGTACTTACTTTTTTCATAACCGTTGATAGTAATGAGAATTATAAGTATTATAAAAATAATTAACTGATAATGAAATGTGTTCGCGCTAGCCATGACTCGATGTAATGGCCAGTTTGTGACTGATTATGCGAAACACCATTACAAGGATGTTTAAAAAAAATTAGTTCGTCAACAAGCAATTGTGTTTCCGTATGTCCTATACCGATGAAGACAATGTTATGACTGTTGTACTTGATTGTACTTGCTTGTATTATTATTACAACTTCATACGTTCATTGTTAAGCCGTACGTTATATTTTGTAAATATTTTTGGCCTCTTTCGCCATTTTTTTTTGCAGTTTAAAACGATTATTTGTAATTATACTTATGTATAATTTGATATTTCGATAAAAAATACCTGTACCGCCTACTAGAAAAAGAGTCAATTATTTTAAAGTAAGATCGATTTGAAATTTGCTTCAAACTCTTTACTTATATGTTTAATGTATTTAACATACTAGCTGCCTCCCGCGACTCCGTCCGCGCGGAAAAAAAATCTTAACAGTAGCCATCGTGTTCTCACAGACTATTTTATACATCTTTGCCAAATTTCAGCGACGTTCCTATCGCTGTTCTGGCGATATCTTCAAACCAACATCCATCTATCCATAAAAAAAATCGTTTTTATAATATTAGTAAGATTTGTTGATGTTTTAAAGTGTTTTAAGAAAAGAATATGATTTAGATAATATCATTTTGATAAAAATAACATTCTTTCGTTTTGTATAAATTAAAATCTGTATCTTTTTTATCTCTGCTATATGTGCTTTGACTGTGTTAAAGTTTAATAACGCATGCGCGTAGGACCATGACTTGGCTAGTATTGTGCTACCAACGTGAAATAATAATTCGGCGGCGCGATTTTATTGATCCAACTCGACCCCGGGCATTTCGCCGGGATAGACGAAGCTCAGTCTTGTTCCTTAATGCGCCCAGTGTAAAGTGATTCTCTAAATTGGAACGCGTTTAATCAATACTTTTTCTCAAGAAAAAGTAACAATGGTAAGTTCTTATTTTAACAAACACTGCTTTGTCGCAATAAAATAAAACACAAAGTAAAATAATTTTGCATACTACGCCGAAAACCAGCTTTTGTCGTATAATTTTTGTATTGATTTAATTTTGTTCTTTTAAAATACAATTTTTTTTCGAATATTTTAACTGAATATTAAGTAAAATGTGTGATTTTTTCTGAAATATTCATTAAATCGATATAAGTCATATAATAAAAAAAATCGTTTAATGAATAAATAATATTAGTAGCTTAAAATACTTGTTGAACACTCGATAAAGAAATAAGTTTTTAATTTAATTTTTAAATTATAGTCTACACTAAAAAGGTGTGGTGCGCAATTGTGCGGTACCTACTTTTCCAGGGTATCTTGCAATTATTACATAATCCGTCCATTTATTGAACGTTAAAAATATCTACAATATGAGTTCATTTATATATTTTTTTTCACAGGATAGTAATAGTACTATGACCAGTTCGGGGTTATTGGATTGGGAGCTATCCCTACCATCCGACCAGATAATATCCCACGGATGGTACCACGGAGCTCTCAGTCGAACGGCTGCCGAAAATCTTCTGCAACAAGATCGCCAGTTCCTCGTGCGGGAGTCGTCTTCGCAACCAGATAACTACGTACTTAGCTGCCGCTCAAATGGACAGCATTTGCATTTCGTCATACAACGCGTAAGTACACATACAGACAATAGTATAATGGTAACTGTATTTTTGCTTGTTCCTTATTAAAACAGTTTGAATCATTTCAGATCGTAGTTCATCCTGACACGGTCTACGAGAAATATCAATATCAGTTTGAGGATGAAGCATATGATACTGTAGCAGATCTTATCACTTCCTACGTAGGCTCCGGCAAGCCTATATCGGCAGCCTCCGGAGCCAGAATTCAATATCCAGCGAATCGAGTTGTACCCTTGACAAACTACACCACCGAAGATATGGCTTCTGTGTCTTCGCCGATGGGGGAATCATCTAGCTACAGCAACCCCTATAGTGTGTACAGCCACTTTGCTGCGAAACCCGGGGCCCAACTTCGAGTCCCATTTAAAAAACAAAGATCGCATTCCCTAACACCAACAGATGTAACTCAGCACGCAACTCAAGGAAAGAGTGCTAGTGCAGATGGTGTTATACAAAGCCAAACTAATAAACACCACAAACATTTGTCTGGTGATTCCAGCTCCAGCTCGGGAACATGGGATGCAAACTTGCCGACGAGCCCGCCGGCCAAACCGGTTCGCTTCGAAGCACCGAGGGCAGATGAGAGACGTCTGGAGCTTCAACGATTCTACGTTATTTCTGGTTCCGATTCGGGCAATGGATCTGGTGATTCGACACAAAGCTCTTCTCACAGTGACCCGAATAGATCAAGATTGGACATAGAATATACCTTGGTGACACCAATAATAAGGCAACAATTCGATTTTAATATGGCAGAAGCCAGGCTTTTACAAGCGCAAAATGTGGACTACGTGATCGCATCGAGGATTAACTTGGGAAACTTCCAATCACAGATCATTCCGATGAATCTAACTAAGCCCTTAGAGTCGGACACTTTACATACTATTAAACTGATGCTAAGGACGTGTGGACCGCGTATTTTGGCAAATCATCTGACTAAGGTAGACTATCACTTCTTGATAGACGATGCTCTTCAAATTGAAGGATTGGACAAAACTGCCTCAGGGCTAGAGTTATGCTTTTTGCCTCAAGGTCCATCATTGCGTCTGGATGTGATAGAAAGGTTTGTATAAAATAATTGATTCACCAGTTTAATACAATTCTTGATTAATTGAAAAATAATATTTAATTTCAGAGTTGAAACTTTCCGGCTCCTTGTAGCGGTTACAATATTAACCTGCCAAACGGATAGGCAACGAGCAGACACTATTAATGATTGGATTCTCCTCGCTGTGGAAACAAAGACAGCACTGGGAAATCTGTATGGTTTTTCTGCTATCATGTTTGGCCTTTGCATGCCCCAGGTAAACATTATACAGACTATATTATAAAGACGGTATTTTCTTAAAAGTCATCATTTTTCATCAATTTCATAACTATTATTTCATTGTTTAGGTGCAGTGCTTGGAAAATGCATGGAACATCTTACGTCAAACTTACACAGACAGCGCAATTATGTTTGAATCTAAATTGAGGCCAGGATTTAAAAGCATGAATGCAGGAACAAACCCTCTACCTCCCAACACCACCACGCCGAATGTGTTGCCGCCAGTTGTTTGTTGCCACGTGTTTGGTAAGCACGATGCGTCAAATCAAATTAAATTATGATAAAAACAAGTAACTATTGTTCTTACCTGACCTAATTTTTCCATAAATATATAATATGCCTGCGTATTTCTTTAACAGATGGCGAAGGAGGTGATGCTTTGCCGCCTGATCTCACGTTCCCGGACAGTCTTATGAACACACTGAATTTCGATTTCTCCGTTACAAATGCGCATTTGGATGCGGCACGACTTTTCCCATCTCAAATCGACATATTCAAAAGAAACGCCCGTACAGTTATCCAATCGATGTCGCAACTGGGACCAGTTCTGGATCCAGTATTACTCGAACTCTTCAAAACTGAATTTCATATTAATTTCCTCTGGGGCGAACGTGGTGCTCTGACTACGCCGAGCCAAAGATTTGCGAGGCTGACAGATATATTAACAACCATGGCTACAAAGATAACAAACCAACCTCTGCCGCTGGAGGACTTTATTGAAAATTTAAATCATTAGAATGTAAACATTATCGAATGAATTCGAAATGTTTAATCAATCGATGTAACAGTACATTTAATTTATATTATTCATTAAAATAAAGATAACATTTAGATTTGATCTGGGCGACGAAAACTAGGTGCGCCTACCCTATATAAGCGAGATAGGGATCTCCTATGTAGAGGATACTACTTAAATATGTGTATGATGATTACAGTTACGATTCGTCGCCGACTAATAGGCCAGATTTTAGAGCTGTCTATAGTTGTGGTTTTAAATTTAATATTGTTATTAGACGATTTTAATTTTATGAAGACGATTAAAATCGTTTAAAATTATTTATGATAACATTCTATTTCTGTGCTATGTGTGTAGTGATAGAACTTTCATTCATTGTACTAATTTATTTTATCGTTGTTGTTGATGTCGACAATTTACTGTTTATTCCAATAAATGTATTAAAACTTATGAAATAACTCGGCTGCATTTTCATTACGGCTTTTAAACCCTTTAGTAGCAAAATATTACCCCTGGACACTCAAAGAGAGACATAGACTTAGTATTTTTTGATTACGTTTCAAAAGCCGTATTTTCTGGAAGACTATTCTATATTCTAAAGGAAATTTTATTTTGGGTACTTATTTACGTACTCCGGAGGCTCAGTGTCCCAAAATGGGCGTTGACTTCCGAAACAAGCAATTATTTAGGTTATAATTAAAAAACAAATGGTAAGAGAAATTTTAAAATGATAAGACAAAATACCCCAATAAGAAATTTATTTTAAAACATGACATAAAAAAGCACATTTTTACGTAAGTATTATAAATACAATGCAATAAGTCGCAATGATATAAGTACTAGTAGATTAAAACCATATATTTATACCCTTAAAAATTTGATAAAATTCATTTTTTAAAAACCGATTACGTAAAAAAATATATAAAATGTTAAAACTAATTTTTAAAAACTTAATTGTCATTATAATGAGATAGGATTTTTTTAATCAGTAGTATGTTGTATAAAATGTTTTAGAATAACTTAATACTAGCCCTGTTTTAATTATATGTATATGTAAATTGAATATTTCTCAATACAATTAAGAAGCTAAAAAAATATAAAAAAAATCTTAGATTTATCTGCACTTGATCACATGTATTATGCAAATGAAATACAACAGATCTTATTAAAGATCTCTTTATAGTATCGTAACTTTATTAGACTTATTTAAATTTCCAAAACCCTACACCTACTCTTACTATTTGGTAATGATATTCAAAATGTATTGCTTTTGTATAACATTATACATATTTATAAATATCAATTAAGTATCTTTTAAAAGCGTATAATGTGTTTCCGATATCTTGGCGACTCTAAATTTTGCGCGAGTCGCTGATTACCTCGAGCAGGCAATATATTTGAAAGGATTTATACCAGTATGAGGATTATTTAACTGCTAATAGTCTGGTTTGACCATTAAGGCCAGAATTTATTATGAGAAAGAGTGGTTGATATAAGTCAGTCTTTTGATTTTGAAGCTACTGAACCAACCCGTTTAGTAGGAGTAACATAATTTTCTTCACAAACTTATTAAATATGATATATAAATGATATTATGCTGATATATAGAAGTTAAAAGTCTTACATAGATGGAATAAAAACGACTTTTTAGAACTTTAAAGATTTAGCAAAAAGCGCGACTGTAGCTTGCGTTTTATCACCGTTGAATCTTCTCAGCTCAACAATTGCCTGTAATAAATTATTAATTTCTATAAATAAAAGTCACACGCCCTTAAACTTAGGGACAATAAATAACTATCAAAAACAAGTTATTATTATTGTAAAACCAACAAATATCCACCTGTTCTCTAGTGAACCCGAGACCAACAATTTCCTCAACATCAGACTCGCTGAATGAATCTGTTGGCAGAATTGTTAGGCTTGGATTTCCGAATCCTGAAAAAAAAGTTAAAATTTAATTACCTACCTACTATTAATAATAATATTATAATATTCAGTTTTTTCATTCCATAATATTAATTTTTAATACAAAGGTAATTTAACTTAGTGTGATCATGTTCTATAATTTATAATTAAATCTTCTTACCAGTTCTCTTTCCTTGCCCAGAGTTAGTAGATGCTTGAGAACTGGATCCCGGTCTTGATGTTTGGTTCCTAGTTGCTTCTGCTATAATATACATATATACAAACTTTATATAAAACAACATTATATACACCACCAGCTAGAACATACAAACATATATTTATTTATTAATTAAAAAAAAAAGTGTTATGGTATTATTTTTGCATACATGTTTCCCAGTAGAAATCCAAAGTATATGAAATTATGTTTGCAATATTCTTACCACTTATTTGATTATTAGATTGGCCCACACTTGTAGATGTTTGAGCGCTTGCAGTAGATTTCGAAAGTTGATTATTTTTTGCTTGTTCTGCAAAATTATTAAATACATTACATGCATTTGTCCAAACATCATTTAAAGTACTACAAATTATAACAATCAAATTTATCTATAATAAAAATTATTATGTTGTCTCGGTGAATAAAAAAAAATGTCAGCGCAGTGAAGGAAATGATTTACTATCCAGCCATTCTACATTAGATGGATTGCATCTACAGCTTATGTTTTATAAGGAATTTGTTTACATTTCCAATACTTCGATGTAAATGAGATGAAAAATAATCCATTCGTTAACTGTTAACCTCATTTTCTATCTTTTTTTTTTCTATTTTACAAAAACTATTTAGCAACTTTTATGTTTATTAATTGCAAAGTTTATTACATAGTTATATACAAGTAGTATTTATACATTGAAGTGATTAGTGACAATGTGTAAAAATATTTTTACATTACCATATTAAAGCCACATTAGGTGTATGTACAATTTTCTTCTTGATTCACACAAAGTGAGCGCTGATTATGACAAAAAATATTAGTCATCATTGCAAAAATTAACCATTTCTTCACAGTTAGTAATATTCAAACTATTTGGTGATTAAAATGTAAGAAGCTGATAATAAGAAAGATGTATTAAGTAAATATTATGAGTAGATAAAGGAGAAACATGCAAAAGCCGAAAAAAAAAGAATTATAGCTTGTACTGTTTTTATTTTTTTATCATACTTTGTTACTGTCTTATCAAACATGCAACAAATTTATTTTTTACTTTTACCTCAATAATTTGCAACCAAAACAGTAGTCAGTAAAAATAAATTCATTAAACATTAGTCTTTATCTTAATTTTAACAAAACTTACTAATAAAAAGCAATAGAAAAGATAATAGCAGTGCAAAATGATTTCCCTTAAACAAAAAATGATTTACAATTTCATGTAACTATGAAATGACCTTAAAAATGTAATAAACAAAAAAAAATGAGATGCCACATTTATTTCTTTTTTCCTCTCCCACCTTGTTTAGATTTCTCGAGGGCTTCTTTTATTTGACGTTCCTCGTGAGCCCGAGTTGATTGGTTGACAATTTCATCTTCGGAATAGCCAGACAAACGGGCACATTCTGGCAATTCCGACTCGGGTAGGAACGGTGTCTCAGTACCGGTAGTTCCAATACGTAACACATTCCGTTTTAAATCAATGTTACACTGAAAAAAAAATCACTATCACCACTTTACAAAGATAAAAGCATCTATGGTTTCATATGTATACCACATCTAATTTAAAAATTCATTAAAATTTAAATCTAAGTATTCCCAAAATTTTCTGTACAACATTTTACATATATATGAAAGCTAGTTATTCACTGAAAAATCCAGGCAAAATAACATGGATAAAAATATTTTATTTATGAAAACATTTGTCATCTAATCGGCAAGCTAAAAATTAAACAAGCAAGCTATAATTTACACACCACTTCATTTCTTTCACACTATAAATATAATATACCTGATGTCTTTTTAACATATCCAAGCCAAGAAGCATATCCATTGGTTGTTCTTCAAGCACTGAGAATGATGTTGTTAGAAAATCTTTCTCAATTCTCATCTGAACCATGTGGATTCTGCCAATAATGCGTTGTACACCAACACCTTTAGCAATACCTGCCCATCTATTAAGTAAAAACAATACAGTGTTTTGATGAAACTACAATTTAGAGTGAAGATAAAGAACCCAATATTATATATATTAAATAGTATATTGAACATTATTAAACAAAGACGTCAATGCATATACCATCAATAATTTCTTAAACATGTAAAATTTGACAAAGAATTCAATATTTTGTTGTCCAGATGAGTGAAAGCTAATACGCTAAGCTTTCACTCATCTGGACTCTTTGAAACTACAAATCTCTATTATCAACTATCGATTAACAACCAAAGATTGGCAGATACATACTAAATCTTCATTTAATATACAAATTGTGGTAACCTACAAATCTATTGGCGGTGTTATACAGCTGACATTAATATAAATAAGTACCAAAGAGCATTACTCACCTAGTATCAACAAGTCTCATGATGTTGCATCTTTCTGCACAAGCAGCTGACATGATGGTTGTTTGAGCACCTGAATCAATAAATGCTTTTACAGGAAACCTAAAAGAAAAAAGAAATTATCTATGGTGTATGTTATTTAACTGAAGCATTTAAATGTTTAATGATGTTTAGTTTCACAAACCCGTTAACATGGCAATTGATGTACAACATCACAACAGTTCCAAATGTTTCCGGATTGTACTCCATAGCTGCTTCCATATTAGCTTCAATATTCTTCTGTCTAATCTCCTCCGCAATCATTCTTTGCGCTTCAGTATCAAATGGATCTGAATTCATCATCCTGTTAAATAAGTCATGATTTCATTTAAAATCTACATGATAAAGAGATTGATATTGAGTAGGGCAGACTGTTTACCTCAACCTTTATTTTATTAGCGCATTATTTTCTTAACATAGAACATAAGTTGCCTAACAATGAAACAACCAAAGGTCAAACCAAAAATCAAGCACTTGCCACACTGCTACTATGAAACATGCAATTGACTTTTTAAATGGCTGTCAAACATGTTCAATGCCACCTCAAAATTAAATGATCCATCAAAAAGTTCCTTTGTTATTGTTCTTAGTATGAAGCACAAAGGATGCTAAGGTGAGTACAAAATTGACACAATGGACGCTACATTAATGTTGCTGTATTTTAATATAACTGTCCAGCAAAATATAACATAAGTTATAAGACAGGGAGTCTCGCCTTTATTACTGTTAATGTTTACTTTGAGAATTAAATATTTCAAATGACAAAATATTATAATTTATAAATCTTATTGGAATTAAGCACAAACCATCAAGGTATTAAGGCCCATTTAAATATAATTTGATAACAAATAAAAATAAGTTAATTTCAGCACAAGATTACCTTATTCTTTGTTGCTGACGCTCAGTCCTTGCTGACAATTGTTCTCGAAGAACAGAAGCGAATGTATCTATAAAAAATATTTGTATTTATGTAATTCACTTCACAAGTGACCTAAATGAGACATGCATAATTCAGTTTATTCTAATATAAAACTTATACAATAAATTAATATAAAATTCTATGAACTTACCAAGATTTCCACTAAGCAAGGCGTCTGCCAATCGTGGGTTGTTTTGTTTGAGTAAAGCTAGCTCATCAGGTTTGGCAAGAAACATTTCTCTTATTAGACGGGGGTCTTCCTCAACAGGATTGCTTCTTGCAGCCATTGAGCTACTAGCCACTGCAGGAGGAACTTGTATACTACTGAAATCAAGGTTGGCTAAACCTGCAGGCAATGCTGAAAATAAATTATGACCAAATTTATCAAAAAAATCCAATCAAAACAAATAATTTTTTTTGACAGCAACAAAATGTCACGTATATTTTTAATTTTTACGCACCAGCTTTATTGCAGTCAACAGTTTACAGATTGATGCACATTGATGACGTTTAGAAGTCAACAAGATACATGACACTGCAATTTTGTAAAAGAGAAACAAAGGTACCTTGACTGGAATCGTTGGCGTTGAGATTGGTAGAAGATTGCAGCATGTGAATCATAACGATGACATCTCCATCGTTTACGCCATGGTCTCTTAAAGACTTCTTGTCGTCTAACAGCGGCTTGCCGTTGAAGTTCAGTATGATGTCCTTTGCTCGAAACCCGGATTCTATTTCACAGAATGCTTTAAAATTCTCTAATTCCAGATCTTCGGAAACATCTATGACGAAGATTTCGTCTGTAAGTGTAGTAACAGTAACTTTCATCGTGAAATTATTTGATGCCGCGTTTTCTTTACACTGAGAAGACTGCAGACGCTTTGTGTTATTTATATTTCAACAATGACTGTCCAAATCATTGTATAGTACCGAACGTTTTATATCACTATAGTCTTTAGCGATAAGGGAAGTACAAATAATATTTCTTTTCGAGTAGCTGGGTACCCAGTTACCACAGTAAATTCGCAGGTTGCAGCAGGTTGCTTACTTCACTTTGCGATTTGCGAATTGTATTCGATTCCACGATACGCTGTGATCAATCGCTTTCAACTTTCTCGTAATGAAATCGATAATTTACTTAACATCATTTACTAATAAAAATATAATAGCCTAATTACGGGAAATATTAAGACATTCGCTTGCTTAAAATAACACTGAAACTTTTTTATACAATTTTCCAATACGTTTTTTATAAATTTGGCGCATAAAGAAAATTAGTGCAACACCAAAAACCAAAAAGTCTAGAATCTAGAATAGAGAAAACTGTGGGAGACCTTTGTTATTCATTTTCAGCATTCAGTTGAGAAGTTGCGATTGTTATCAATCAGCGTCTGACGAGCAAATTGATCAGTTGAGTGTTTATCAATGCCTAAGATGATCTCATTTTTGAAGTGGTGATTTGACCGTAGTAGTTTGTGTCCTTAAAATATTTATCAGATTATTTTTGGATATAATTGTTATGATGTGAAATAGGTGCACTGGCATACAATGGTGAGTATAATAAAATCTTGTATTTTTTTCTAACATGTTTTTGTTAGTTCATAGTTTGGTTTTTCTTCAAGATAACATGTTTATATTTAGTTTGTAATTACATTGCAATATTTTTAGAACGGTGAAAGTAGGTTTTAGTGTTACAATCTCGTCGTTGCTTCGAAACCAGATACACGAATTTTGGATACAAATATGAATGATAAATATTTCATTTGTTTGCTTTTGGAGCAATGTATGATATCTTAATTTACTTTATGTACATTGCCATGCAACACCTGATTATAAAAATAGATGACATACATTAAAATAAAATAAAAGAATCATTAATATTCCAAAACGTTAAACAAATTAGTCTTAATTTTTTGTTAATACTCAGTAAGAATTTTATGATATTATTTAATGTTGTAATATTTATTAAGCATATATTATTTTCTTGAAGTAGCAATTTTAATAGGCTTGTGCTTTCACACTTGCTATTGCTATCTACTTCATTCTTTCTGAATGTCTAGACCGATGCAGTTGTGTTTTTTTGCAGAAATTTATTAAGTGAGTGAATGAAGATTAGTTATATACAAGATGTCATCAGTAGGTCAACTAGTGCCACAGGTGACAAGAGGGCCACCCAATATGACAATCAAATATAATGGTCCCCACATTGAGGGATCATTTTGCACTTCAATTGATTACAACTATGATCCAATCATCAGTGTTATATGTGCAATGTATATTGTCTTTGGCATTGTATATACATTGTTCGGTAAGTTTTTAATATTAATTGAAGTTAATTCTATGCTTTAATTTCAAGAATTCGTCATATTCATTGCCTGAAATTTTATTGAGTACATTTTTTGAAATTATTAATATTGTATAAATGTCACTTATAAATAAAATATTTGTTACAGGTTATAGATGCTTTAAAGCAAGCATGTTTCTAACGGGCTTTACATTTGGCTCTGCCATTGTATACCTAATTTGCTTGCAAGAATATCTAATGCCTCCATATGGCAATGTTGGTATGTTATTGTTTTAAAATTATTCGTATGTTTTGATCAAAAAAATTACTTTGTATTCTAACAAGTCATTTTTTGTAGGAGTGGCGCTGTGTGCTGGTTTACTCTTCGGGCTGATTACGATGTTGATACAGTATGTTGGACTATTCATGACTGGATTCCATACTGGTCTTCT